TGCCCTGTTCTCACCTGGGGTCACACATAGTCCCTCTTTCCTACAGTTAGGGACAAAGGCCGAGAATACCTTGATGTCAACTTTCTGCAGCAGCCCAGCAGAAGTGGCTGTGATTGAGACCTCCCACTCCCTTTACTCAGTCCCTCTCACTGGGCAAGGGGTTGTTTTCATGCAGAAAATGACTTGTCTTCCAGAGAGGGAATGATCCCTGGAGCAAGGAAGCGCTCTCTCTTCTCTCTCTCTCTCTCTCTCTCTCTCGCTCTCTCTCTCTCTCTCTCTCTCTCTCTCTCTCTCTCTCTTTTTTTCCTTTACAGGTTCTTTAGGGAGCTCTGGTGACTTAGTGCTTAAGGCATTTGTTTGCTAACCAGAAGGCTGGCGGTTCAAACCTACCAGTCACTCACTCCTCAGAAGGAAGATTGAGCAATCTATTTCCGTAGAGATACTGCCTCAGAAACCCAAGATGAGTTGGGATTGACTCAATGACAGTGAGGTTCTTTCTTTCTTTTTTTTAAATAGGTTCTTTTTGTTCTTATCGAGTCCTCTTTTATGCAGAACATCTCCTCTGCATTGGCAATAGTTATTGTCACCCATATAGATTCTGAGGACAGAGGAGCCTGGTTGGATGCAAAGTAGAGTGGAAGAAGGAGACCTCTGAGAGCAGTTCTAGGACTAGGCCCTGGTGGCTTGACTTCTGCTGTTAAAGGGCTTCTCTTCCTTCTGAAAAATTGACTTAATAAATCTGACAAACTAAAGACTGAAAATATTGTGGTGTCCTCAGCATTAGAAAAAAAAATGGCAAGTAGGAAAACTGAAAATGAAGGAGTAGAATGCCTGCTATACAATCACCTGTGATGCTAGAAACTTTTCCCTCACTGATTTTTCTTGTTTTCTAATATAGTTCTTGTTTCCCCTTCTTGGAGCATGTACCTCCTTGTTCAGGGTCTTCTTCTATCCCAGAGCTCTCATTGGGAGGGGACTCCACCTTGATCTATCCCTGAGATAGAGGGAAGTTGATGGGCTCACGGGTGTTCTCTGAAGTAATTGTGAATTGTAGTGATTGGACAATCTACTTCTGTGGAGATATTGCCCCAGCAACCCAAGGAGGGGTCACTATGAGTTGAATTGACTTGACGGGTGAGTTTGTTTTTTTGTTTTTTGGGTGAAAGCATTTGGCAATGTCCAAGTGTCTTAGTTACTGAGGGCTGCCATAAAAGAAATCCACAAATCAGTGGCTTTAAAGAACAGAAATTTGTTTTCTCAAAGTTCTGGAGGCTAAACATCCAAATCAAGGTCTGGGCTGTGTCAGTTCCTTCAGGGAGCCTTTCTCCTAGTTTCTGGTGACTGCTGACATTTCTGGGCCTTTCTTGGCACTTGTCTTCCCTCTGGTGTGTCTCTGTGTCCATTTTCTTTTTATAATTCATAAGTGATTAGGTTTAGGACCAGCCAGCATGCTGGCATGACTTCATTAACATAACAAAAGAAAACTCCTATATCCAAATAGGGTCCTATTTGCAAGAATAAGGATTAGAATTTCAACACATATTTTGGAGGACCCAGTTCAATCCATAGCACCAAGTGTCATTGGGAATGTCTAGTTCTACATATCACTCTGTGATAGCTCTGTTGTGAGCTTGCTTTACTTATGTTTGTTTGCCAACAGCTCCCTTACCCCCCTTGGTATTTTTATAAGCACACTATGCTATTATTATTATTTTTTAACAACAAACTGTTAAAAAAAATTAGCATAGGGCTTACGGAAAATACCTTGCAGGGGAAGAGAGCAGTTGGCAAAAATGTAGAAGGTGGGCTCATGTTTTTTTTGGGTAAAAATATGGTATTTATTTATATTAAATATTTGCTATTCTAAAATACTAGTTCTAGAAGGGTTAGACTCATGTGAAGGCATTTGTGGTATTCTGAGTAGAGACTCCTGCTTGGCCAATAATTTGTGGATTTGAGCAGAATTTCCCTGTTCTGACATTTTCCATTTGGTTATTTTGTAGAATTACTCTCGTCTGCCCCTCAGGTTTATGTAATTAGATACAGACCTTGAAGAGAGATGAGCTTTTCTCATGAGAGTTAATGTTCCAGTAGGAACATCTCCTGAAGACTAAGTTAAATGCTCTAAGTGGAAATGAATTCCTCTCACTGGAAAGGATTTTTTTAAAAAATATTTTTTTCTTCCTTTGATTTGTGACAGATTGTGTGTCACTGTCAGATGGGGAAGAAGAGAGAAAATTATGCTTTCCTTGCTTAGGCATCTCCTTGATATTGACTGAAGAACATGGCCCTCAGGCTCTGGTATTAGAATGACTTTGGCACCTCAGTGCTTTGCTTTTGATACAGGAGAGCTTGTCTCTAATCCAAAATTGTGAAGAAGTCTGTTTTTTGTTTTGTTTGAAATTGTGGTATATAACAAAAATATATAACAAAACGTTGGCCAGTTCCACAAGTTTTACATGTATAATTCAGTGACATTGATTAGTCTTCATGTTTTGCTACATTGTCACTCTCCTTTTTCAGTGTTTTCCGTGACCATTAGCTTAACTCAGTGGCCCTTAAACAATAACTTTCCCTTTCCACCTCCTTCCTATCCCTGGTTACCATGAATAAGCTTTAGTTTCTATCTGTTTGCCTACTTTATATAAGTGAGATCATATTGTTTATCCTTTTGTGATGAACTTATTTTACTCAGTATAATGTTTTCAAGGTTCATCTGTGTTGTAGTGTGTATCAGGACTTCAATTCTTCTTATAGAAGGCATGTTTAGCATGCCTATTTTTAGGCCTTATACATTGCCGTAGAGTTGGACCTGACTCAGTGACCCCTCCTTGGGTTTCCGAGGAGGTATCACTATGAAAGTAGATCGCCCAACCTTCCTTCTGAGGCCTTAGAAAACACATTTGTGTGGTATTTTTACAGCACTTTTCATGGCCCTAGAAACCTGTGCCTTGTGGGGTTTTATTTTAAAATATGTATAGAAATGCTCAGATTTGTCATGTATAAAGTCATTTAGTTTATTGCAAGATAGTCACGACAGCACACAGGTAAGACCCCAAGACATTAATTTAGACCTGGAGAATCAAGGTAGGGTTGTTGTTGTTATGTGCCCTCGAGTCAGACCCAACCCATAGTGACCCCTCCTTGGGTTTCCGAGGAGGTATCACTACAGAAGTAGATTGCCCCATCATGGTAGGGTAGAGTTAGTTTAACAATTAAAATCCAAAGGTCTAGCCTACAGGCATTTTTACTTTTAACAAGTCATCTTGGAAGCCAAGCCTGACGTGTGCCTCATCCTTAGGGGAGATTCCTTGTAGCTGGGGTCTGAGGTTGACAGCACCATGCAGAGTCTCTGATAGAATCACCAGCAAAAAAGCCTTAGTTGTTGGAGAGGGTCAGAGACTTGACTGATAGTGTTGCTGCCTTGTTCTTGTTGAAAGAGCATAAGCTCAGGGTCTTTGTGTGGTTTATTCTCTCTGGTTTTGCGTAATAAGGATTTCTCAGAGAGTAGATAGTTTATAACTAGATAGTATCAGTGTGACTTGCTTCATAGGTTCATGATCAAGGTTGCACATTGAGGTATCTTAACATAGGGAAACTAAGGGGCTATGCCGCACCTTATCACAGCCAAGCAGTTGTCTACAGAAAGGAGCTGGTTTATTCTATTAGAAATTGTTTCTGTCACAGAAGTTTTTATAAGCCTTAAGCTGTGTACAGCTTAGCTGTAGGTCACACAGTACATGTTTCACACATACGTGATTTGTGATCACTACATTATAAGCTCTGGTAGCATAATGCCTAAGGCACTTGACTGCTAACCAGAAGGCTGGCGGTTCAAACCCACCAGCCACTCCTTGGAAGGAAGGTTGGGCAATCTACTTCTGTAGTGATACTACCTAGGAAACCCAAGGAGGGGTCGCTAGGAGTCGGGTCCGACTTGATGGCAAATAACAACAACAACAACAACAACACATTATAAGCACGTATCACCACCTGTAAACTGAGTTCCTTTACGTTCTTGGTCCTTCTGAGGAAATAAGAGGAACTCCAAAAGGCCTAGGGACAGGCAGTGATTCCATGGAGTATGGTGCTTCCATTGGCCAAGTTGCTGAGAGACTGGAGTGAGTGAGTGAGGAGATTCCTCCCCCCCAAAGTCCTTAGGGATATTCTGAGAGCCCCTAGTGGCACAACAGTTAAGTACTTGGCTGCTAACTGAAAGGTTGGTAGTTCAAACCTATAGTGGTTCAAACCCTTCTAGCAGCTCTGCAGGAGAAAGACCTGGTCCTTTGTGCCCTGGTAAAATGTTTACTTTGCTGCTCTGCTCTTACTGAGTTAAACTTGTTTTCTCAGGCAAGTCTTCCTACTGAGGGCATCAGTGCTGTGTAGTTTTTGTTTTGTTGGTTTGTTTAGTTTAAAAACAAACACATTGCTTACTGAAGACTTGTGTACCCCCGCCAATCAATTATCGCATGTCAATACCACATGTTATATCAACTCACACTGTAATTATGTTCTTACCTATCTGTGAGAATTAAATAAATGTTTTCGAAGTGTGCTGAAATTTCTTTGGATAAAAGGGCTTGTGTGGAGTCTTGAAATTTTAGTATTAGTTTCTGATCTACTTGGGGGGTGGTGGGAGCAGTAACAACATCAGATGGATACAGTCATTTTCTGCAGGAATCTTTTCTAGGAATGTTTTGTTTGCTCCAAAGTGACTGTTACCACACTGTCCAGCAGGGATGGTAGGTGGCCCAGGGAGGAGGTCAAACTCATGTAAACACCCACTCGTCCCTTTTCATGAAGGCGTATTTGGGTATGTGTAATATCTTTGTGTAAAGAAGCTTGGTAGGACATGATACTGGGTGAGAAATAACAACAAAACTTGCTATTAAGTTCCTTGTTATTATTACTTAAACTTTGGTAGTAGGATTGGAGGAGCCATTGTGAAACCTAAAACTCTAGACTCTAAACTACTTCTTATTTTCCCTCTTTGTTCACAGTGGGGCCTTTTCTGAGGTGGTTTTAGCAGAAGAGAGGGCAACTGGAAAACTCTTTGCTGTCAAGTGTATCCCTAAGAAGGCACTGAAGGGCAAAGAAAGCAGCATAGAGAATGAGATCGCCGTTCTGAGAAAGTAAGTGTCGGGTGGAATGGGCCCTCCTGCTCTGACTGCCTTTGTGCTGATGTCCCTTCCCACTGAGAATGAGCAGCCCACCCCAGGAGGCTGGCTTCAGAGAGGTCAAAAAGGGCGACTAGAACCCTGGCCTGGAGAGAGGGTCTGGGACACTGCTGATGTTGGTTAACATTTACATGGTGTTTTTATAGTACTTTTCATGTATCTTATCTCATATAACACTTGTGGCAGTTATTTGAATTATTGCTTCAAAACATACAGATCAGGCTGACTTTTTTTTTTTTTTAAACAAAAATCAATGTGGTAGAATGTATTTAATGTAAAATTTTGCCATTTTAACCATTTTTAAGTGAACAATTGAGTGGCATTAATTGTATTCCCAATGTTTTACAGCCATCACCATCATCAATTTCCAAAATGTTTTCATCACTCCAAACAGATATTCCATGGGTTCTGTATTGGGTTATCAAATAGCAGTAACTCTCTTACCTCCCTGTCCCCACAGTCCCTGGTAAGCTCTAATCTGCTTTCTGTCTCTAAGATTTTGCCTCTTCTAGGTATTTCATATAAATGGAATCATGCAATAGTTTCCCTTTTGTTTCTAGCTATTTTTACTTACCAGGTTTTCCAGGTCCATCCAGGTTGTAGCAGGTATCAGAACTTCATTCCTTTTTGTGGCTGAATAATATTCCATTTGTAGGGATATATTCCTCATTTTGTTTATCCATTCACTTGTTGTTGGATGAATTTTAGTTTTATTCCCCATGTGTAATAGGACAAATCAGAATCTTCTCCCCTCCAATATGACAGCACATGAAAAGCTATTTTCATCCCTCAAGAGATGATCTGTCATCTTCTTCCCCATCATCATTATTAAGCCATTCTGCCATATCTCATAAGGTTTGAGGGAACAAACCCTTATATGGTACCTACTTTGGCATGTTTAGAGTATATCTGAATTATGTGCTATGGAAAGTTTAAGAGTAACTATTAATAAAAAATGTTAGAAATATCCTTGAAATTTTTGGGGTTTGGCATCAGCCCATAGCAAGTGGGAACAAATTTTCTAGGGCCTCAAAACAAAATGTCACACTCCTCTCTTTTTGAGACACCCAGCTCTCCCACTTTCCTGTCTCTTTGGGAACAGCGATGTCTGCTGAACAGTGTTTTGCTACCATGAGTACAAAACCAGCACCACTGAGGGAAGCAGGACAGTGTGTTCTGTCCTCTGTGTGACCCAAACAGAAAACCTGCAGCATATGCGATATGTGTTCCAGGACAAAGGTGTCTTGACAGCTTTTCAGTGGAAGGGTTTTTGCTCATTTGTTTCATCATTTGGTTTGTTTCTAGGTTCTCTGCATAGTATCTTACCAAAGAGTTTCAGATCGTCCTATGGAGAATTGGATGAAATGATTATATCGACGAGCATTTGGGAAAACAAATTACTCTGAGTACATTAGCACCAAGCAGGAAAACACTATGTTAATGAGACATTTATTTAAATTGCTCATTTTCTGATATGAAATTAGTGCCTGGAGAAGGGGGTATCCACTAGTGACATTAAGTAGTAGACTCAATGCAGATATTTGACATTTTAGATGGAATTATGGGTGGGCTGCAAGCCATCAAAGGTGGGCTGCTGGACCTCTGCTGAATTGGGAGGAGTGGGGTACCTTAAAATTTATGTGACTCCCTTATAGGCCTAGAAATAAAAGCTGGGAAAGCAAGTTTCTATTCTTAGAGTTATTTTCAGCATATGTGAGTAGGGGTCATATATGTAGACTTTATAATTCATTCTTGGTTTATGCACAGACATTCTGCTTTAATTAGTATCTCCACCCTGTGCCTCACTCAAATAATAACCACTTCCAGGGAGATGACATTTAAAACCAAGAAGGGCCAGGGATTTGGGATAACTCCTTTCCGTGGTTCCTTCCTGTTAGCTATTAGAATGCCTTGAGTCTTGACCCTTCTTCCAGAAATAAAAAACAAAGAAATGATTTATCAGAGGGTGAAAGGTGATATATCCCTTGTACCAATTTATTTTTTGGTCTTCTGCAAATGATTTACAAGAGGCAGTTTCACATCATGAGCATCAGAAAGCAAAGCATATAAGTTGTAAAGAAAATAGCTTGAAGCCTATGTTAGAATGCTCTCATTGAGGCACATATTTATCAAATTCCTACTATGCAGTTTGAAAGATAAGATCTAATTGTTGACTTCATGGAGTTCCCAGTTTTGTTACTAAATGAATTTAATAAAGTTATACATGCTGTGATAGAAGTATGAAAAGGGGGTGGGTCTGAAAGGTGGAAACACCTAGTTCTTCCTTGGGAGGGGGTGAGAAAAGGAAGGAGCCCTTGTGGTGCAGTTGTGAAGCACTCAGCTGCTAACCAAAATGTCAGAAGTTCTAACCCATCAACTGCTCTGTGGGAGAACAACGTAGTCTGCATCAGTAAAGATTATAGCCTTCGAAAGCCTATGGGGGCACTTCTACTCAGTCTAAGAGGATTGCTGTGAGTTGGTGTTGACTCAATGGCAATAGGTTTGGTTTTTGATTTAGTGAAGAAAGTTTTTATGGAGGAAGTGGGTCTAGACAATGAGTATATTTTGCTGGGATCAGAGAAGCAGAGGGATATTCCAACCAGCAGGAGCAGCGCAAAAAAGGTAAGGAGATGACAGACACAGGCTGGTATGCTGGGGAACTCTAAGTAGTTCGTCTAACCCAGACAAAACGTTTAAGATGAGGCATGGAGACACCTAAGGTTGAAGAGGTAGGATTATGGAGAGCCTTATATCCAATACTTTGGACTTAGAACTTTGTCCTGTGGACAGTGGGGAGTCATTGAAGGATTTTAATGAAAAGAGTAATGTGATCAGGTTTGTTTCATAGTGATTATTGTGGCCCAACTTAGAAGAATAGATTGGGGGGACAGAACTTAATACGGGGAGAGTTTGGAGTCCATTGGAGAAGTTTAGGTGAAAAATGAAGAAGTGACAAATTAGAGCAGCAGCTATGAGGATGGGAGGAGTCTCTGGGTGGTGCAGATGGCTAATGAGCTTGGCTGCTAACCAAAAAGTTGGAGGTTCAAGTCCACCCAGAAGACCTTGGAAAGTGCCTTGGAAGAATGCCTGGCAATCTACTTTTGAAAAACCAGCCATTGAAAACCCTATGGAATGTAGAGTTCTTTGCTGACACCATGGGGTAGCCATGAGTTGGAATCAACTCAATGGAAACTGGTTATGGGGGTGGAAAGGAGGAGATAGATGCTAAGAACAAAATGGAATCTTTAGGATTTGGGGATTTGGTGGGATTAAGGAGAAAGTTGAGGGAGAGATAAGAGTCCAGGATAACTATCAGCTTATGACTTGGATGACTAGATAGATAATGACTTCATTAACTGAGCCCAGAAATACAGGAGCATGAGAACAGGTGATGAATTCTGTTTTGGACATGCTGAGTTTGAGGGACTAGGTAAAGATAATCAATGGGCAGGTGACTATCCAGGTCAGTTGTGATCTGGCCTTGCTGGCTGTTAAAGTTTTCCAAGACAACATAAAAATGTTCTTCTGGTACTTTCCATAACTAAATAGTTGTAGATGGGGTTGCAAATAGACCTGCTTTACTCTGAATTACGCCACACAGTCCCTAGTCATTACATTCCCACTTTATTTTTCACCCAATGAGGGCCATTTGAGAAACTGTTTTCTTTCCTACGTGTGAAGTTTATTACAGAGTGAGAGATTTATTTATTTCATTGGATTAAAGTAATGTAGCTAATATATCCTTAAGGAAGTCTTTGTACTTGCTCTGAAAATAGTTCTAAAATGAATTTTCTACTTGATAAGTAGACATTAAACCAAGCTCAGAGGGAAGAAAAGTGATAAGCATCATGGTAGACTGTCGCCATGCAGCAGAGAGAGCTGCTAATCTGACTGTGGTGTTCAGTGAGCTGTCAATCTCTGCGATTCATCATGAGTTTTTCCAGGTGGAATATTATGCTGTGGTCTCAAAAATGGAGTATTTTATACATTATGGAATATAACAACATCACTGTTATACATCTTGAGTTGGGTTATATAGACCTTATATGTTCTGTGATATTATTTACTTAAATGACTCAATTTCAAGGCAATACGTAAAGCACTTTTGGAGATGTAGAAAGGCAAATATATAAACAGTCTGCATTAAAGTGAGGGGTGAAGAGGGAAAGAGGTGCATAATGCTGGGAAATGGGAGACATGTATCTAGAGTAGACTTGCTTTTCATTAATCATTGGGTAAACTGAGGTTCACATTGGTTAAAGAGGTACTGCTTAAATGGCAGTACCTTTTGAAAGTTCCTTGTGGTATAAATAGTTAGTGTACTTAGTTGGTAATTGAAAGGTTGGAGATTCACATCCATCCAGAGACACCCCAGAAGAAAGACCTGGAGTCTACTTCTGAAAAATCAGCCATTGAAAACCTGTGCAGCACAGTTCTACCCTGACACATGTGGGGTCACCATAAATTAGAACCTACTCAAGCAACTGGTTTGGTCTGAATGAAGCATGGTATCAGAATTCAGCATCCTCTTTGTGATTACTTTGTAGGTTATAGAGATTGTCTTGCCTTAGGGGCCTAAGCAGGAACTGCTTTAAATTTCATGTTCTCATCTCTCTGGGTACACTGGGGAGTCTCAGTTGAGTGGTGTCTGCCTCTTCTCTCTAATGCCGTGGTTCTCAACCCTGGCTGCACATTACAATCACCTGCAGAGGTTTTAAGAACATACTAATGCCAAGACCCCCACCAAGACAAATTGAGTTAGAATTAGAGGTTATGGTGGGCATCAGAAATTTTTAACACCCCCACCTCCATGATTCTGACAGTCAGCTGACCCCAGCATTGAGAACAGCTGCTCTAGGGCTGACCTTTCTGGTGTCACCTTCCATGAAGGTGAAGATGCTTTTCTTGTGTCCAGGAGTATGGGCAGATGTATATGTACTTGTGTGTGTATGCAC